GATCGTAGTCATAGTAATAACAGGTTACATATGCACAACTATAAAAATGGTTACAAACACTTGATAAGGGAATGTTCGAACAGGAAAATGTATTTGGTTCAGTCGTTTTCATGAAATTCCTTTATTCATACTCATTACATTTACATAGTGTATGCTTCATTAATCAAATCATACAATTAAGAGTATGTAAGTCTGTATAAATAAGATAAACAGAATCATAAAATGAACCCAAGCCAAACTATGGAATGATCAAGTAGACTTAATGAATGAAGTCATACATAACGATCTGATGAGTTCTGCAAAATAACCAACACGAATTCATGTTTAATTTAATTATTCTTTCAGTAGATTTCAATAGATTATTTTAACAAGGTAGGATTACACTTCTGACTGATGATTGAGTAGTAAGCAAAGCTATGCTCAACTCATTCTTTAGTGATGATCGAATATTCTAGATCAAGTTTCAATATGACCACTAGTGCAAGTGGTTGAGTTGTTAGCTGGTTGAACTTAGTAAATAGAAAACTATTCTTGAACCAAGTTTCATACTGGCTAACACTCATCATCAGGGCCCACTTGTAATATTTGGGAGGACTGGTTCTTTCAATAACATCCAGCTACATATTTTCATACTTCACTATTGAGATATTCGAGTGACGGATGATCTTCAGTGAAACTAAGATATTTAAAACTGATTGATTAACGATTAACGTTTTACATCATGTTTTTCAAGCCTTCCAGGTATTGACTGAATTCTATTTACTATTATTATACGATGTACAATTTTCATACAAATTGCGTTCTGCTTCCATTCCTTACTGTTCGATCCTCTTGTCTCTCTGCTGCCAGTCATTTCGTTCACGAGTAATGTCATATACTACTTATGTCGATATAAGTAGCACACACCACAATAGTAATATTAATAACTATATTTCATGGAAGTTTCAAATATTCCCATTTACTTCAGTATACGTTGCCATACAACAGCAGCTTACATAATCATTAAGTGAACGAAATGAACTGTTTGTAGATATAGAATTGTTTACACTTCCATCTCCTCTTGTAGACAGACCAGACATAGATAATGGTGACAATCAGTTTTATAAACAGAAGCCTCGTTCAATATTTGGACGATAAATCTTCAGTGAAACTGAGATCTATAAAGCTGATTGATTAACGATTAAGAATTGACTAAATTCTTTTGACAACTATTATACGGTTTACTATTCTTTATTTATTCTCAATCTAGTAGTTACAGTCTCCCTATTCTCACCTGACCTGTATAATACTTATTTTATATTATAAGGTATGATGTGGTCTAGTCAGGTTCTATATAAATCGCGTATATCTCACTTATGTTTAGAACGTAGACTTGAAATGAACAATCTGTAATTCCCCAACTTCAAGAAAAGGTCACAGTGGGTTAGAAGGAGAAGATCAAGCATAGAATGAAGCAAAATATTTGAGTGACGAGATCATCGTTTCACTTCATAGAAATAGAGAAGAAACAATGAGATAGTTGCACTGAACGTCACTAGACGGTGTCCCTTTTGATTCTCTTCTTATTCAACGGAGTTAAAATTGTTACATGTGATTAGTTAGTGATTTATTTATCAAACACTTTTACTAATGAAACGGTTTCTGTGGTCTTAATAAACGATTGTAACTGGAGATACAGGATTTGGTAATGAGAAATGAATTTCTAAGTGGAAACTGAATAGCAATGGGAGTATCGAATTGTTCAAAGACAGAACGTGTTTTTCGAAAACAGTTGAATATCATAATCAAGTTGCATATTTGAATGCAGTTTGTACGAATATTCGTCAAGGTTAGAACGAATAGTTTGACCGAAATCGGGCGCTGAGTATAGAGAAGTCATTATATGTGAAAATTATATCTGAAATAATCTCAGCGATTAAAAATCAAGTAGTTAGTTGAAGTTAGACATCGTTGGATACCGGCTCAGTGGTCTATTTAGTTAAAGGCATGGGGCGAGACTGATAGGTCCTGTGTTCGAATCCCGCGAGGTGGGGTCGTGAATGCGTATGATAGTTCGTAGTATTTGAATTGTAGCATGAACTAAGAATACCCGAAATAACGCAATTGAATCAAGAGGTACTAGACAAGCCCTAACGAGTGTATTGTATTTAGAATTCAAAATCAAGCATTCAACAAGTACAGTGGTGTCATTATTTCATTCAAACAGCACATCCGCCACAGCTTAAATAGGGGTATTAGTGTTTGTAATCGGTTGTACGTCTTATTGTTATGTTCATCCTGAGTCTGTCCGACACTGTATTGGATAAAAACTTTGTAGTATTTAGAATGTGCTCATTAGTATTGGAATTAACAAACGAAATCGGAACAGACTCACCTGGAATTGTATACAATCAGCATGTCGGTTTTGTAATGAAATCATTAATATCTAGAATTCGAACCACATATTTTTCAACACTATCCTCCCCCACGAAATAATGTTGTATCTTTATATCCCCAAGTTATAAATGATGTGGCTTCATTTAAAACATATTTCGCACATTGTTTAGAGTAAACATTAGAACTGTTTTTGTGATAAGGGTAAACAGCAGTTAATGTGAAATTATCCGAATTGTTATCAAAATCGAACTCATTTAGTACTCGTGCTTCGCATTGAACCAGTTTCCCACAAGAAACATCAGTTCGAGTATCCACACTACATTAGCACAGAGATGCAGTGGTCGATTCAAATCCCGTAATGGTAGAGGTAATAAGAGTATAAGCAGTGTGTTATTTAAAGAGTATAATACAATGAAATAAGTTTGGGAAGAGAAAAAAAAGAGACAAGGAGGAATAAGGAGATTGGAATTTGGGAGAACACAAAGAGTGTATGTACCTGCGCCATTGCAAACAATTTTGAGCCATGTAATTCAAGGTCTCTAACCATCAGTTGCTATCGTCTCGCGGATCCCAACTAGGTAGTCTACACCTACCAACATGACTCAGTCCACTTGTCAGTAACTTAATGGATTTATGCAATGTTTCGGTCTGGCCACCCCTAGCTCTCTTACAACTTACTCCTATACCATTGAGCATCGTACGTCGAGGCAGTCGGTCGTTGGGCATACGTAACACGTGTCCCAGCCATCTCAACTGATGAAGTTTCACTACGTCACCAATTGATTTGCCATCCTCACCTAGTACCCGTTTCCTAACAACTGCTTTACTTACTCGATTGTCCCAGGATATACGAGCAATGTTTCGAAGACACCTATGATCAAATACTAGTAACCTACGAATATCCTCTACTCTTACCGGCCATGTTTCACTGCCATAAAGTAGGATGGAACGAACTGCTGAGCAGTAAACATGTCCTTTGGTTGATAGACGGATATCTCACCTATGCCATAAATGATGCAAGTTGGTAAAAGCTAGTCGAGCCTTCTGTATTCGTGCTGAGACTTCGTCACACACCAGATCACAAGGACTGATGAGACTTCCAAGATAAGTGAAGCGATCGACTTCTCTCCCTACCATTAGTTCGGGTGTCAATGCAACCCAATCCTGAAGCAACATTTTGCATTTCGACGGGGAGAATCGCATCCCGAACATGCTTGCATTGTTGCTTAGAGTGGTCATAAGACTCTGCATTTTGTCAGCGTCTTCACCAAATAAAACTATGTCATCAGCATATTCTAAGTCAACAAATGAACCTCCTGGTAGAAGTTCGACCCCTGGAAATCTAGACGAGGAAAGTGTTATCTCTAAAAGTACGTCGACGACAAAGTCGAGCAAGAATGGAGAGAGTGGATAGCTCTGACGAACACCATTTGAGGTAATCAATTCTGATGACAGTTCGCCATAAGTTCTCACTCTTCCAGTTGTGTTCGAGTAGAGAGCCTGTATAAGGTTAAGTAATAAATATAAAGCATTTTCACGAAGTCCAACCATGTCTAGCGAGTTATCAATGTCAGTGGTTTGTTCAATAGCATTTCTTCTAAGTCTCTTTTAAGAAACTAACTACGTGCCTTTAAAAAACATAATTTTTAAAACAGCACTGGAATGTAGTGTGGTTCGTGCTACTTGTATCAATATAAGTAGTATATAACGTTAATTAGGAATGAGATGTCTGGCAGCAGGATCTCAAGAAGATCAAGAAGGAAAGAACGGGAACATAAGGCAATTGGTATGTACATGCAGGAACAATGAAGTCTGAAACAGCCGACTGATATTTGCAAATGGAACAGTCAAGTTTTAGACAATTGATTGACATTGTATGGTTCTCAGATTTCACTAAGATATTCTGTAATTTTGTTTCGTTCACTACAGTAGTATCATGATTACGACAAAACAAATAATAACTCGTTATGTTGGTGCCTAATTATAGAAAAGAAACTAACTACTTTTCTATCTGCGAAATGTTATTTTCACGATGCCATGAAGGTTAAGTTACAACTTTCAAATTCATTGAAGTAAAAAAATGACTAACTTCGGTACATGAGCAAATTCAGACTTGCTGTTTGCTGAAAGATGAAATCTTTAAGCTTCACAAAATACATCAGTTGGTTTTCAAGTTGTTCTGCATGAATTAGTCACCATAGTAACAAAAGAACCTTAAAAGTCCCATACTTAGATCGTTTTTTTTTTATTTTGCATAAGTAACAAGGTCCAATTTCGTTGCTAAGTCTGGTCATCGGTGAATTTAACAAGGTTTTATGTTTACTTTTATATTTCAAATATTTCCCATAATTATTTACCAATGTTTTTACTCTAAATGACCGAAAGTTTATAAAACATTGTCCTTTTTATATTTCAGTACAACTGAGAATATAAAATTTGCCATTGGTCAAGCATTTCAGTTGCGAGCCGAACTAAATGCTAGAGATGACAAAGTCAAGTCATATTTAGAAGAAGGTAAAAGACTGAAAGCTTCATTCAAACAACATTTGATGCAATATGATAAGTCAAGTTATGAAAAGTGCCATCAGCCATACGAAATGTCCCAGTTATATTCGAAAATAGAAATGAGAAAACAACATGGAACTAATAATCCAACTGATGAAATACAAATTTGTAAGATCAGTGAACAGCGGAAAAAGTTACGGAATAATACCTTACAAAATGTGAATATTACTGACAAGGATTGTATTATAGAAAAAGTTGAACAACACAGTCGAATTGCAACAGTTAGATCAATTTCCTCTGATCTTCACCTTGAATCTGTGAGGTTAAATGCAAATTACAGTCAAAAGTCAGATACATCATCTATGGCATTAAATCAACTGGATTTACAAAATGAGAGTGATATGAGTGATGAAGAAGACCAAATAATAACAGATCTTCAGTTACGTATGACACGATTAGTAACATCATGGTATAATTTGCACAAGAAATGGCATCAAATATATGAACGACTAGAATTACAACTTAGTATTAATGAATTTGCAAGGTTAGTTAAATGATAACTGATCACTAATTGACTTCTTATACTATTGAAATTTGATCATTCAATGAATGGTTTCGTTATTTTACACAACCATTTGATCGGTCTGTAAGACAATTCACAAGAAATACTCTTGATCTTGAACTTAGTCATCCATTTAAACAGATACATTTCAAAGGGTTTCTACTACTGGCGTTTTTTCGCAACTAACCTGTCTGTCACTGGTTTAATCATTTCGAATAACGTATGTGGCTAATCTCGGAAATCAACGCCTATGATTCGAGCTTTTTCACAAAGATATTTTCAAAGTTTTAGCTTTTTAAACTTCTATAATTCAGCCTATCAAATTCTATGTAAATCAGGATGCTAATGAAGACCTGGGAGGAGTTTACACTTGTTTTTGGTATGTTATTGCGGTCCTCCTTATTATACACGCATAATTAATTCATTAATCAGAGGTTCATATTTCTTAACGAATCGGTTATCAATGTAATCAGTCAAATTATAATGCTTTTAAAGTGACAGAGGTTTAACTTTATACTGAAAATATTTCAGATGTATTGAGATCAATGACTACTTATTACTTATATTGGCAAATAGTATGAACATAATCAATCAAATAATGAACTGAGAAATAAGCCTTAGATAGTGAAGAAGGTTGAAATCATCTATAATTTAAGTCAACTAAACTGATTCATCGATTCAACATTTCAAACGTCAGCTCATAATCCAAGTGGCCTATATGCATTTATCTAACTCTGAAAGTTGAACTATTTTATCTCATTTTATGGTGTGATAGTTACATATATATTATTTTTGCTTCGTTTTCTAACTATTCGTTCATCAGTCATAGGAAGAATTAGTACAACTGTTCAGTCTATTTACTAATTTCGATTATCATGTGATCATTTGCGTACATGTATTTGTTATTTTTCTTATCAAGTGTCGCAGATTCTTTGGAACATTGGCTGGTACTTCATTCAGCAGAAGTGGAATGTTTAGATATGGGTGATTCTATCAAGGAAACACAAATATTAATTGATCGATTAAATGTCTTGGAACGGAATACTTTGCCACAAATCAGCAGATATGAAAAAGTTAAACAACTTACAAAGGTTTGCTTAGATGTCACATTTAAAACGTTTAATATTCAATGGTTAAGATCATGAGTCAGTTGAAGCTAGACCTGGAAGCACTGGACCGCCGTTTCGTTCTATTACGGGACCCCTCAGCAGTGCGCATCCACGGCCTCGCCCCCTGTGAGATTCGAACCCAGCATCTACTCGTTTCGAGCGCGAGCACTCAACAACTAGACCACTGAGCCGACTTCTAACACTGTTAATGTTTAACTTCAATTAATCCATGAAATCGAGCGACACATCCACCATTGTCTTCACAACAGACCTGATTGAACTCCACTGGTCACTATTTCTCACTTGTTATCCAGAAACAAATATTTGCTTAAAAGGTTATACTGATGAAATAAATACAAATATCCAAATCATCTATCTCCAGTAATCAATAAAACATTGAACTTTTTAACCTAGCTGTAGATTTTTAAGACGATTTACAAAGATAATAGGCACAACCATCTTCAGCTATGTTATCAGTAATACATCCGTTGAATATTAAATTTTGGTAAAGAAATTGCTTTTGTCTATTTAGATGGTGGCATGAAATGAAACTCAGTAAAGCTTTTGTCAATGTCTAGTTCAATTTGATACCATTTCAAAGTGTTGTAAATTACTGATTAAGGAAATGGACGATTTTCTCTATTTCAAATCGACACTTATTGCATTCACTTTTAATAGCTAAAGTCAAAGATACTTGGAAATAAGCGTTTGAGTAATATCATGCGACAAGTTTAATGTGAAGGCTCTTATACAAGTAAAGATTAGAGTCAAACTTGAAAAGTGCTCAAATAGCTACTGTATGTTTTGAAACATTTTTGGAACGCAATACAAAGTATCAACCACTAGTGAATTACTGTTAGAATGCACAAAATCTTGAGTTCTTTTTAGTCTTTAACTATGATAAGATGATGTTCTCCTCAAGATTATATTAGGAAGTGGGTGGTGTATTTCTCAAGGGAAGGGGGTAGACAAGCTGAAGTATAATGTTCGGGGTTTCATCATAATAATGTTCTATGACTTGTATAGTAAGTGATCAGTTATTGTGTATATTCAGCTCGGTGAAAGGTGGGGAGAATCATCGAGTCAGTATTGCTTATGTGACATAATAACCATAAACATACATTGCCTATAATTATATAAGGTTAACATTCCAAAGCATTACACTCTTAGTGAACTATATGAGCAATTGTTCTAGTCATGTTAATACTTTTGGTTCCATAAATGTATAGAACTTTAGATTTTCGACTGACGAAATTGACATATTTTAGACCAGGCAAGTGAACTAATGACGTTATGCATTGAATAATATTTCAATGAAGCATAAGCACTAATTCAATGTTACCTTAGTCATTTTGATAGTTTATTATTTTATTTATTTTAACACATAGATATTGGTACAAGGAGGCGCCAAATACATATGTGCCACACAAATCTCGTTCGACATGTGTGAGGGGTTGTGATACTGCCCGGGTGCTTAAACAGATGCAGGTGGTTTTCTTAGGGGGCCACCCCCTTAGCCTTCGACCTGAAGGTCTGATTCACAAGACAGTATATCAACGTAGGGAGATGCAGTCGCATGGTAGCCGGTGACCAACAATTGGTTCATACGCCATTTGTTCCTTCTGGATCCTGGAGCCCATGTGCACCATTAGTTTGGAACCCGGTTAAAGCGCCGGACATTCGCATTTCGTTCTCTCATTTTCGTAAACAACACTATGGCCACGAGAAGGTGGTGAGTAAGACTTCCCTGGCAGAGGATGTATTGCTGGTTAGATAAAAAAAGCCAACGGCCATACCACGTTGGAAGCACCGGTTCTCGTTCGATCACCGCAGTTAAGCAACGTTTTGATAGTGGTTTCTTAAATCTCATTCTCTTTTAAAGAATAACAGATGGAATCTAAATTTTAATACACATTCACAATTTAAGACTTTAAGTTTACTATGTTTCACATTTCACAATGTGTCTTTAGAATATTTAACTTTTACCAAAAGCTCATTAAGAAGGCCAGACATCTCTCTCATATTACTTTCTTCAGTCTAGAATATATATGCCCGCGCACTTTGGCTCCATCATTTATCAGCATGTTACATATACTTTCTTAATTTATTTTAGTTTGAACTCGCTGAGATCGAAGAAAATATGCTGAATGTGCCAATAAGCTGTGTGAATATTGTTCACAGTCCAGATCTAGAAAATATACAAACACTTTTAAATTACTATGAATTGAACGAAACAGATGCATCAAATGATTTTGATGATTCTAAGCAGAATGTCGACGCAATGACAGATGAGAATTTAAAGGATACTACTGATTCACCTGAAGTTAGTTGGGAGGTGGCAGAAGGTCAGAATCTTTCATTCAGTAGTTTAATATAACACACATAGTTTTAATTTAATAAAATTTATTCACTAATTATAAAAAGTAGTTTAACTAAACTAAATATTTCAAAATTCCTGGTTATTTGACATGATCACAGAAAAAAGTGGGAAAAACAGGATTTTCAGTTCATTTCGAGACTTCCTGTCAGCTACAAATAATATAAAACCACATTTAGTAACATCATTGCTTACACGTTTTTCAAATACCTTACTTATGCTATTTGAACTCGACTTCCTTGATGATGATGATGATGATGATACCGTGAAAGTTTGTTTATAATCTAATCATAGAATCTCTCTGTTTAAATCAGAATGCAATATGTGACATCATTGTTCACATGATACAAGTCCAGGCTATTATCGAGTCATTAAACAAACTAACACATTTGATTCGTAGTTTGATTAATCTCTCAGTGGTTACTAGCTGTTATAATTCTCCCAGTTAGTAATGTTTTCGTTTGATGTAGTATTGTGGTACGTGCTACTTATATTGATATAAGTAGTATATTATGCGAGACAGGAATGTAATATCTGGCAGCAGAAGATGAGTGATTTGCGATGCATGTTTGGTTAATGTTTGTCCTCTGGCAGGTTTCACTCATTTTCATGTAAATTTCGTAATTTTAAATGCTTTAAATGTGATAAGATTGGATACATTCAGTCAGTTTGCAATAGTAGGGTTCATTCCACTGCAACTAATGCTAAGATTTGTGATCGTGACCCTATTAAGGTGGGTGTTTCTAATGATAATTTATCTTCATCCACGACTTTGAAAAGCAGTATAGAGTCACATAACAGTCCACATTTAGATGAAACTCAGAATCCTTGTGAGACAATAGTTACTAATCAATCAACTTATGAGATTTCTCACATTACTGTACCAGATATGGTTTGTCGTAATGATTCACATATTTCTGACGAAATTCCTTATAAATCTGAGAGAAATATATTGAGTGAACCTAATCATGATCAAAAACCTGATGTACTTTTGATAGATGCTAATTTTTCTAATGATCCTTTATTCTGTAATAACATTCTTAATAAAGTTGAGGAAAACATTACAGAAGAATCAAATCCTGATGTCATATCATATCATATTTGTTCAATGCAAAGCATGAGTACTAAATGGGATCGATTTGGATTACGATTTGGATGATTTCATATCAACTGTTATTTATCCTCATCGTAAAGTCACTTCCAATGAATACTCTAGTCAGTGTTCGTTCGTGCTTATCTGATAAGTTTTAAATGAAGCCATATCATTCATAACTTGGGGATACGAAGATCCAACATTATTTCGTGTTGGAGGATAGTGTGGGAAAATCTTTGGTTCAAATTCTAGTTATCAGTGATTTCAGTACACAATGGACATAGTGATTGTATACGATTGCAGGATCCAGTTGAGTCCATTCTAATTTCAGTTGTTAATTCTAATACTCATGAGCATATTCTAGATAATACATCACGAACTGACATCAGCTAGATAATACATAGTCTACATGAAATACACAGTCGGATGAAACAATGAACCTAAGGAGGTAGAATTGATCACAGAAATTTGGATTTTTATATAAGCTGTGTGGTATTTATATGAACTTACGATTCATTTGTACTTGTTCACTGCTTAATTTCAAATTCCAAATACAATTGATTCGTTCGTGTTTATCTAGTACCTCTTGAGTAAATTGACTTATTTCTAGGATTCCTAATTTGTACTATAATTCAACTACTCCTAATTATCACATTCTTCTATATGTAGGTCAGGGAATTATTGATTTTCATTTGCAATGTAAACAATACTAGCTCATTATACAAAACGAATGAAACTATGTATGTTCCACATAATCTATCTAATCACAAGCTGTACACACATTTGAACTCTTTGTATTTCATTGTTGTTTTGCACTTTTTGAGAAGATGAAGTTCTTTTTGTTTTACAAATACATTCCTCCGCTTTAATGTTTTTTCATTGGTTTCACATTCCATTCTATAAACTGAATGAAATAGAATAAACTAACAATCTTCATTTATTTTATAATCTGTAATTATATTCAGCTCTGTTTCATATTTCTGTAAAACATTCAATGAGATTGAGGTGATGGTGTAATGTTTGGTGTTAGTTTGAATATCTATTTAGATAAGTTTCGCCAAATTCATGAGTTAATTGGAGCTAGACTACCATGGAATACGTGGAAGCATTGGACGGCCGTTTCGTCCTAGTATGGGACTCCTCACCAGTGTGTGTCCACGACCTCGCCTCACAAGATTCCAACCCAGGATCTATCAGTCTCGCGCCAAGCGCTTAACCAACTAGACTACTTAGCCATTACGCAATGGTGTTATTGTCTAACTTCAACCAGTCCACGTAGTTGCGCCACCGTACACCATTTTCTTCAGTGAGTTGACATCTCACAACAGAACTGGTTGAACTCCACTGGTAACTGATAGGTCCTGGGTTCGAATCTCGTGGAGTGCGAATTCGTGGATGCGCATTCCTGAAGAGTCCCATATTAGGACGAAACGGTCATCCAGTACTTCAAGGTTTTCCATAGAGTTCTAGCTTCAGTTGACTCCTCATTTCAATCTAATTCAAGATTGTTAGTTTATTGTATTTCGTTTGACTTTCCAAATTAAATGCGAGAACTTCACGCTGACAAGAACTTTTGGCATCTAATACAAGTGCGAAACACAAAAAGTGTATGAACTAGCAGACACATTGCACATTGAGGTTGTGAATCCCGATCATGTATGATTCCATGACCATGCCATGCAAAATATTCATTATATGCAGTATCGTTCGTGTCCAAATACTTCAAATAGTCTGCCAGTCTCCCTGGTGATTCGAATTGATCAACGTGAATAAACGAGTATGGAGGAGCGACTCTTTCATATTCTTCTATCGATGCACCCATCACAATTGGAAGTATATCGTTTCTTGGAATGAATAATAAGTTTGCAATTTGTTAAACACTTATCGAAATCTCATCATACAAGTGAACCGTGAACATTCGCAAAAATATGTATATACATTGAAAATGTCAAAATTTCAACTTACAGAACGATGGAAGTGAGATTTCAGTTTTAACCAGTTTCACCGTTTTATTTTGACGTGACAGATATAGAAAAATATGCACTATGATTGCTTAACACACATTAGTCTCCAAAAGGCCACAGTCTCTTCAGTAACATGACTTGATATAGAAATGTGTGTCACAAACACTTCAGTACACTGACAGATTATTCAGCTTAGTAGTTCATTGCATAATCCTAATCAGAGATGCACTTCCCTTGTGGACACAACATATTAGGGACTATTGTGTTTTGGTGTTTATGAGTTGAGCCTTTAAACTGTTGA